CTCTGCCTACTGCTTGTGTTCCCTCTCTCGCTCTCTGTGTCAAATAAATAAATAAAATCTTTAAAAAAAAAAAAAATTGTACTTTTTCATGTTGGGCCATGGTTCAGATTTCCCTCTGTCTGGCAAAATCCTACTATATTTCAATTGCACTTCCTCTTTGTGGAGTCTTCCTTGACCGACTCCCAGAGAGGAAATGATTCCTTTTTTTTCTCTTCTCCCACGAAACCTTTTTGCACTAATACAGCACGTGCTACTTGTGTGCCATCACCTCCCACTGAACTGTGAATTCCAGGAAGTCAAGATATATGCACCTAAAATAGTGTGCAGCATAGATACTCAATTAATACTGATTAATATATGACTGTGCAAATATCTAAAAAATAAAGAATAAAATTTTGCTTGATAAGATAAACTTAAAATGACCAGAATGAAAATATACATAAAACAAAAACAATTGATTAAAACAGAAATATATTTTATACATGCTTACATTTGCATGGAAAACTTGTAGAAGAATTTGTAAGAAACCTAAGAGTGGCTGTATCTGGAAAGGGAGGCTGGGACAATCTTCTGCTATCAAAATTTTTTTGCCACCTCAAGGTATTTAGACACTTAAAAATGTTAATAGCAAAGATTAAGAAATAGCATGGAAAATGCTATGTCAGTATTAGGTATTTAAAAAAAGGAAGTCACTGATACCATAAATTCTTTTATGTTGTGACTTAAAACATCTATTAGATTTGCATATAAATGTTATGTTGTTTTCCTAAGGGATAAATAGAGGTTTTAGGCTGATCTTTGAAAATATTTCTCTGTAAAAAACATTTTGTGTGTGTGGATAATTTTTACTAGTAATAAATTACAAGATAATTTTGAAAAATAAAAAAATAAATAAAATAAATAAAAAAAGGAAGTCACAGAATGACGAATAAGAAAAAATATATCTGTAGCTATATAAGGACTAAAAGGAAAATGTGAAAAAGGGGAAAAGCTTATGATTAAACGTGTAAAGGACTGGCTTAAATACATTCCGATTACTTTTATTTGTAATTTTTCTAGATCAACTTTCTCTTAACATTTCCTATAAAATAAGTGCTATGAATCACAGACATCAGACTACTATTTACAGACAAGGAAAAAAGACTGCATTAAGGAAAAAAAAAATGCCACAGGTGGCTTAAGCTTGCTTGGAGGTTGATTTAATTACTCTTGTTTTGCTGCCTTTTTTTTTTTTTTTTTTTTGCTGCTTTATTTTTTAAATAAACTTCATCAAATTTTTATTTAAAACCTTTTATCAGGGGGCGCCTGGGTGGCTCAGATGGTTAAGCGTCTGCCTTCAACTCAGGTCATGGTCCTAGGGTCCTGGGATAGGGCCCCGCATCGGGCTCCCCGCTCGGCGGAAGGCCTGCTTCTCCCTCTCCCACTACCCCCCTGCTTGTGTTCCCTCTCTGGCTGTATCTATCTCTGTCAAATGAATAAATAAAAGCTTAAAAAATAAATAAATAATTAAAACCTTTTCAGTGATATTTTTGCTACTGCTTTCCTGTAGCAAAAAGTTTCAAATGAGCAATACCAAGCACCAGAAACTTTAACTGATTTTAAGTACGGATATTAGTTTTGTAAATAAATATAGCCTTTGCACTCAAAATAGTAAAGCCTTTTTTTAAAAAAGTGTTTTTAAGACAGTCCCTAAAAGCTGATCCCTTCTCATGGTTTCAGTCTCAGCTCAAATGTCACCTACTCAGAGAAACCTTTCCTGATCCACCTAGTTAAAGTAGCCCCCCGCATATATAGATCACAAACTGAAATGATGTTTATTTTTTGTTTACCTTTTTATTTTTTATTATTCCCTACTTGAATGCAAGCTTCGAGAAGGCTGGGAACTTGTCTGCCTTCTATTGCTGCATTCCCATAGGAATTCAGTAGTATTTATTGAATAAATAGGGAAAACTTTGGGTAGCAAAAAATGGAGAAAATTATAAAGCTAATCTACTGTTTACTGTTAACAATCATTTGCATTTTGCTAGAGCCTGTTTGGAATTTAAAGCTCTAAAAGACACAATAGTGGACCCAACTTTAAAAAGCTTTTCAAGACACATTAGGCAGTAGTAAAAAGTGCCATTTGAGAAGGATAAACCAAATGCTACAGAAATATAAGAGGCTGGGTTAAAATAAGAAGCCATTATGGAGACTTGAAGGCTAGCTAAAATTTGGATAGGTGAAGAACAGGCATAAGGGGAGCATTCTTGACCGAAATTGGCATAAAGATGGAGAAGATTTCAAGAAGAGTCAACAGTATAGACTAGTTGAACATCAAGAGCATACAAGGGAAAGGTAAATAAGGTAGGTTAAGGTCAGGGTATAAGTCTTCAAAAGCAGACTAAGTATTTGAAATCATCTCTAGACAACAGGAGAGGTCTCTCTCCACAGGTCTTCAAGCAGGAGATCAGCATGATCACAGCACTGCACTGTTAGAAGAATTCTGGCAGCTATTGGCCAGATAGACTGAGAACAAGGGCTTGGAGGGTTAGTTAGGAGGCAGAGGCTATTGCAAAAGACTGGGCATAAGATAAGCCTCTGAACTAAGGTTTAAATTAAACATTATAGAAAATTACAGACACGTGACATGTTAACTCTGCAGCCAGAAAGATCTGGGTGTGATAAGTCTATACTTAATAGCTCTATCAGGTTTCTAAAAAATAGCTTTATTGAGATATAATTTGTATACCATATAATTCACCCAAAGTGTACAATTAAATAGCTTTTAGTATATTCAGAGTTGTGCATCCACCACCATAATCAATTTTAGAACCTTTTCATTACTCCAAAAGGAAACCATCCCCTTAGCCATCATCCCTGAGTCTCCCCATCTGCTCCTCCCCCCAGACATACACAGCTGCTAATCTACTTTCTGTCTCTATATATTTCTCAATTATGGACATTTAATGTAAATGGAGTTATACAATATGTGGTTATTTGTGCATGGCTTCTTTCATCTGGCACAACTTTTTCAAGATTCCTCAATATTGTCGCATCTATCAGTACTTCATTTCTTTTTATTGCCTAATAGTCCTTGTCATTTACCTATTCATCAATCCATAGGTATTTGGGTTGTTTGATTTTTTTTTGGCTATTATGAATAATACAGCTATGGTAATAGCTGTATCAGTTTTAACATATATGAAATAAAGATAATAATTCTTACCAAATTTTAATAGATGTAAAGAATAATGCCTGGTACAGAATAAATGTTCAAGAAATAGTAGTTTCCTTCTCCCTACATTTTGGGTAAATTGAAGGTTAAGTTATTTAGCTTTCTACCATGACCTAACTGTATTATCTTCAATCTAACAAAACCCTTCCCTAGTCAAATGTAGGATTCCCCTACCTCTTAGGAGATTCCTTCATCATTTCTTACAGACTCTATCATCTTTTGCTAACAGAACTCAGAGTCCCTCTTCTGTCTCTCTACTTTACTACCAAATGCTGAATGAATGTCATCTTGTTTTTCAGTTATGTTTCTATTTATACAAAGATTCAAAGAACTATTTTTTAATCCTGATATTTCTTTCCTTCCTTTCAGTCTCCCGTCTTATCTTACACTCCATCTGACATCCTGGTGCAATCTCAAGTTAACAGCACTAGACGGAAATTTTGTTATCTCTAAACTCTCCCTCTTGCCCAGTTTCCACACTATCAAAACTGATGTTACTATCACTAACTGTTTTTTTCTTATAAATGCTGATGTTAAGGAGCATATATATCTTGGAAATTATTACAATGTAATTCACTACCTATTTTCTTATAAATGCACTTAAATACCATTGTGATTGAAAAATATTACCAAATCTTAAGTCACCCATGCAAATCTTAAAAAACAGAATGCCAAACTTATAATTATCAAATTTTTAAAAACATGTTATCATAACTTATTTTCCCCCTTCTATTATACGGTCGTTTTTAGTATCTAGTATGTTCAGCAATATGCCAGTTACTGATTTGGTTTTAATTTTACACAAGGAACTCTGTAACTCCCAGAATTTTGTTAACTCAAGTCACTTCTATCCTTTGCTTAACAAGCTAGAGTCAGAAATACTAATTAGATGTTACTCCCTTTTCCACTACTAGGCCATAATTAATTTGAACTCAGCAAGCCCAACAATGATGGTTCCTCCTGTCTGGTGGTTTCATTCCTTCTCTAACCTGGCAGACCTCGGTTTGGAGCGATTTTTATGAAATCGTAGATGATAAGGCAGAAGAGCAAAACATCAGTAACTAACAAGCAGTAAGTAGTACAGTCCTAACAGCAGGGAGTGGCCCGGAGAGTGTAGAGAGAGAAGTGAAGGTACAGCTTTTGTCCCGAGATTTAATCATTCAAATGGTTCTTTCTCAAGAACTCTTTAGAAAATGGGCTCCTCTAGGAATACAGGAATAAGGATCTATTTAACAGAAAGGTTTTGTTTTTCTTTTAGAGGACACCGAAAAGTGTAGTTATAAAACGCTGCCTGGTACTAAAACGAAGATGCAGAATAAGCAGTCTTTGGAAACAAGTGTGGGGAGAAGGGGAGGGGCGGGCTACAGAAACAGTGCACAGACTGTCCGGGGTGGAGAGACACCACCGACTGGTGGGGCTCCGCGCGGAGCCGAGGAGCGTAGGGAGCACCGCCGAAGACAGGCACAAGGGCCGCGGGGGAAAAAGCCAGGCTAGGGGCCGCCGCTCACCCAGGGCGGGGCCTCGGGGCCCAAGCCAGGCCGAGGCGAGGGGGTGCCCCAGGAGAGGAGGAAGGCCACTTGCTCCCGCACCCTGCCCATCCCTGGTGCTGGCAAGAAAGAGGGGTGGGAAGGAAAGCAAGAAAAGGTCCTAACAGGGACGCAGGTCCCAAAGCAACAAGTGCCCGCGGCGGCTCCCCAAGAGACTGCTGGTCCGGGGCAGGAAAGCAAGGCACGGTGCGGCGGCCTCCTGGCCTTCCCTCTCTCAGCCCCCGCCCCACCGCACTCACTCTGCCACACGACGCTCTTCAGCCCCCGTTCCGTCACCGGCGGCGCCATCTTCCCAACACTGCAGAAGAGCAGCGGCCGCCTCCCACCCGCAACCTACTTTAGCAGGGAGAAAGAAGCGAGGGTGGCTCCGCCCCACCCAGAGGCCTCGCCCTCCGGTGACGACACGCGCGACTGCGTGGGGATTTCCGCCCACCCCTGGACGGAGGCTGCGCAGTGAGGGCGAAATCTGCCTGGGCAGTCGTGCGCCCCCTAACGGAAGGCTCGGTCAAGCAGAAGTTCGTCGACCTGTGAGGTCAAAGAGCGCAGTGGTGCCTGTGGGTTGAGCGCTAACGCGATGTTCGAAATTCCGAATTCAAGCATACAGTACTTGAAGAAGTACTTCCTTCTCTTTGCAAAAGAAGTCTCCACTTTGCGAAGCCATTCGTATTACACTCAGTAGCCAGCTCAACTATCGAATAGAAAATTTATCCCTTAAAGGTTTTTTTATTCATTTTTCGAGGACATAATAATTGTAGAGAACTCTGAGGTCCCCTCCCGTGTGCCCCGAACTATGCAAGACTTTCAGGGCACTCAAATCAATGGAAGACCCACTTCTGAAGAATTTTAAATCTCCTTTGAGATCTCCATTCCTGGCATGTTGAAGGTAGTCAAAAGTTGATTGAAAAAGTAAATGCCTTGGGATGCCTGGGTGGTTTAGTAGGTCAAGCCTCTGTCTTGGGCTCAGGTCATGATCTTAGGGTCCTGGGATCGAGTCCCACTTCCCCTGTGTGTGTGCGCATTCGTGCTCTCTCACTAACAAGTAAGGGGAAAAAAATTTTTTTTTAAATAAATTTTTGGCACTGGGACACCTGGGTGGCTCAGTTGGTTAAGCGGCTGCCTTCGGCCCAGGTCATGATCCCAGGGTCCTGGGATCGAGTCCCACATCGGGCTCCTTGCTCAGCGGGGAACCTGCTTCTCCCTCTCTCTCCCTCTGCTTGTGCTCTCTCTGTCAAATAAATAAAATCTTTAAAAAAAAAAAAAAAGAAATTTTTGGCACTGAGGTATTTCCTGAGAGGGTTCTTTTGAGGTGAAATCAAAGTAGTCAATCACAAAATAAATCAGTTTAGTTGCTGAGAGCCCCATCTGTGACATAGCCATCATATACATTCAGAAAGTAGACTTCCCTGCAGATTTGCAAAGAACCAATAGCCTTAATAGGAAAGTGGAAATGGTTAGTTACTATACTCGTAATAATAATGGCTAATATTTACTGAGTGCTATTAAATGCAAGGTATCATGGTAAGTGGATCATCTCACTGATCTCAAAGCAACTCTTAAAGACAGGGAAACTGATACTCAGCTTCTGTCCTGAGAAACTGAGGACTAGGATAAGGCATAAGCTACACAGAAAGCAATAGAGTAGTCTATGGGATAATTTGCAATATATGCTCTGAGGAGAGAAAAGGAGAATGAAGAATAAAAGCAGCCATAAAATGGGTTCAAGCACAACCTGTGGCATTAATGGTTTTTCCATTCATGGCTTATATGGGAATGGAAGCTGGAACCCTGGCCTCTTAAACCTACATTAAATGGACTCAGCTGCTCGAATCTTAAACAAATGAACACATCATTTCCCTCTCCCTCTTCATTCGAAAATCAGATTCTGCTTAGTATAGGAGGTGGGGCCCCAACCCATAAGAAGAAGACATGACAGTGCAGACTCACCCTTCTGAAATGGAGCTCCTTACCCTAAAGAGTCAAACCAAGACAGAGGAATGAGGTGGGTGAAGTGCCTCCAGGTGCCAGGGAATGACACAGAAAGGCCCTCTGGGCTTGGAAGTTTGACTTGGATCACATGGGATACAGCTGTGGCTCATGCCCCTGAAGGCTAGATTCCAAGGTGGCAGTGTGTTACAGTGGAACAAATGTGTGCCTTAGCTTCACAAAGATACAGGTCCACAACCTAAAATCCTGGCTCTGCCTCTTAGTAGCAGTGTGACTTCAAATACTTCAGTTTCATTGCATTTATGTGTTAACTATGATAAAACCTCATACCGTCCAACAAGATGAAAACACTGATTGCCATTTTACAGATGTGAAAACTGAGATTCAGAAGTTAAATAAATCATGTCAGACATTGGAAAGGCTCCAAGACCATTGCCCTTTCCGTTGTAGCATATTGCATACCCTCCCTTGCTCCACTAATTTTGTATAACCTCCCTGAGCTGTCTGTCTCTTCTAGTTTGTTTGCCTAGGCAAATTGAACAAGGAATTTGAGTCTCCTGAACATGACATGGCAGAATGTAAGGTAAAATCCAACAACACTGGTCAGAGGCAAAACATCTGCCTATGATGTTGGGAAAGAATTTGAAAAAAGAAAACTAATCATAATAACCAAAAGCTCTTAAGTTAGGGCAGATCACTCACTCACCATCTTATTCCCAGGTCTTCTTCATTAATAACTGATGACTTAATCATGATAATCCAGAGACATAGTCTCCATAAAAATATCATGGATTAGTAGGTCTCATCAATGCTACATATTTACTTGGCTCCTTGAGAATTTTGTTTCAACCGGTTAGCTGTGTAAACATGAGTGAGTTACTTGACTTTTCTGAGTCTCATATTTCTTATCTATATAAAAGAATAATATTATCTAGCTCATAAAGTTGTTCTGAAAATGAACTGAGTATGTGGAAATCACCTACAAGCACATGTGCTACATCCATGTTTTGGTTTTATGTTCACCCAGTGTCGACCATCTTGTCTTCTGTGGAATTCTGACCAAAACAGCCCAGCCTCAGATGCCTGGGTAAAGTAAATGGTCATTTCATTTTCTGTCTTCATAAGGTATAGGTGTAATGGTCCCAGCTCCCTAGTGTCCTAGAACCAGGGATTCTGACCTTCATTTGGCCTTAGCCCTTGGCTCTTTGGCCATTCCAGTCAGCCATGGACATAGCTCTATTTGGAGAGAACACCGGCTGGCAAGTGGGCTCAGCACAGTCTCACATGGGCCCTGCACCACAGCCCAGAATGCTGCCCCAGTTCATGGTTGCCCTCACATGGCATGGACCCACTCTGAACCTCATAGAGCCCTCCAGATCTTCTCACCAATCTTTCCTCACATGTCACAGCCCTCTATCTTCTGTTAAATTAAACAAAGAGGCCATTAAACTGAGGTGGTTCTAATGTCTTAGCAGCCTGTGTAAGCAAACCAAAACCTAAGCCTAGAGTGTCTCAAGGTTAAGAAATCAAAATCTGGGGCTCCTGGGTGGCTCGGTTAAGCATCTACCTTCAGCTTATATCATGATCCAGGGTCCTGGGATCAAGCCCCGCGTCAGGCTCCCTGCTTAACAGGAGAGTCTGCTTCTTGCTTTCCCTCCCCCTACTTGTGCTCACGCTTGCTCTCTCTCTCAAATAAATAAATAAAGTCTTAAGAAAAAAAAATCAGAATCTAAGGACAACCAAACAGCCCAATAGGCTTTCTCAAATATGGAAACCCCTTAAGCTATAGCCAATCAAATAATATCCTTGCTTTCCTTCTATCTCTTCTTTATGAAGGTCTTTCCTTGAGATCCTGACAGTAGAGTGCTCCTAACCACTTCAGGTTTGGTGCTACTAAATTAAAATCAGGTTCTGTTCAAATTCTTAAAATGTTTAATATGCCCCAGTTTATCTTTTAACACTTCTTAGCCTAAAATTTTGCTTCAGGGAAGAGGTCACCAATGCAAACCTTTTAAGTTTCTCAAACCTGGCCACGTGTCACTTGGCAAGTTTGTTAAAACTAGATTCCCAAGCCTGGTCCCAGATGTACTGAATTAGAATCTCCAGAGATGATGTCTGGAAATCCCTATTAAGCAATGAGTTCTCTAAGTGATGTAGATGCACCTAGTTCAGCTCCTGTTCATATACTGGTGTTTAAAAACAAAAGTGAATTAAACTCAGCCCTACTCTGTGGTGCTCTCTGATGCAACAAACTCTGTTTTTCCTACTCACACTATTTTTTTAAAAAGATTTAATTAATTAATTTATTTATTGGACAGAGAAAGAGAGACAGAGAGCATAAGCAGGAGGAGCAACAGAGGGAGAGGAAGAAACAGGCTCCCGTGCTGAGCAGGGGGCGTGATGCGGAGACTCGATACCAGGACCCCAGGATCATGACCTGAGCCGAAGGCAGACGCTTAACCGGCTGAGGCACCCAGGTGCCCCTACTCACACTATTTTTTAATAAGCCTTCTAAGTACAAACATTTTTCTAGGTACAACAGATTTATATTATAAATCATTGTCTTTCCTCTCCAAAGATGAAAATAATGCAGTGTGAGTGGGGGATGTGACCAACAAGATTGATGGTCCTCCCCGCAAAAGATGTGTGCATGTCAGTCTGCCACTGAGGAAGGCTTTGCCTTGGCTGTCCCTCCATTGACGTCTTTGCTCACTCACAACCTTGACTGCAATCCTTCCAGCAACAGGCCAGCAGCTCTGCTTGCCCAGATGCTCACGCAGAGGTAACATCACATGATGCTCTGGCTTGGTGAACACTACAAAGGCTGTCCTGGAAGCTGCTTTCTCCAACCCACGCCGAGGTCCCGCTGGAGGTCTGTCTTGAGATGAGCCGGGTCTCCGCGTGGTGGCTTGATGTCAAGCTCTCCGGGAGTGAACATTTGCAGCCCTTGAATGGCAAGAAGGCTGCATGGCAAGTGCCGGTGTCCATGAAATAGCTATGAAGTGCATGTGTGGAAGTCTGTGTGGTGTTTGGGTATGAAATCTCAGAGACGGTTTCTGCGAAGCAGACCTTTTTATGTTTCCAGAACTTTTCCAGTGTGGGAGCTCACTGTGGCAGTCTTCCAGAGCACTTTCAGGATTAATTTCTCTACTGAGTCATCTCCATAGCAGATCTTGAACTCCTGTGCAGGTGAGGACACACCTGACCTTGCCTGCCTTCAGGAAGTGGAGTCAGAGTTGTCCTTCCAGAGGCCAAGAGAGCTTATTCTACCCTAGAGACATTGTTGTATTCTAATAGAGCTTTCCCCCTCTAATCACACTAACAAGTGAATCAACCCTGCAAAAGATATGGGAAGAATTTTTTAAAAACAAAGCCAAAAAACTATGCCTTTGACTCATACTCTTTCAATTTAAGTTACTCACTAGGTTAAGCCTCTGTTTTTATCGGTGGCT